GGAAATTCTAGCGAGTTGGGTTTATCGAATTGTTTTAAGAGCCTGCCGGAGAGTGTAACGAAACAATTTTATTCTCATTTGTAAGTTCACTGATCTGAGCTTTATCCGCCCGCCAGAAATGTTAGACTACAAACTTCTAGGTGATTCTAAGTATGCTCACTATTACACACACCCATAAAAAGGTAGACGTGCGCTCGGATATGTAGTAAATGAGGAAAAAACTGTGACGAAGTGAAAGCCTCTTCTAAATGAAGCTATGTATGTAATCTACTAACTATTAGTGTAAGCTACAGTTACTCTGTGCGATAATAATTATACTACGAGTTTATACATATGTAATTAAGTAGATACGCATTACACCAACAACAAAACTCAAAACAAGAACAAAAACTTGTGTGCTCTACTTATATACCTTTTTTGTTGTTGCTTATTTGGAAACATAAAACTTGTTTCACCTATGCTGGCCCGTTGCGGTGGTGGCGATCCTGGAAATATGATCATCGGATGGCGATTCTTCGTTGGACTTGGATGTTCCACAGTTAATGTTGGTATAATTAGATCACGAGGTCGTGGTGTTTTCTCTTCTGGTGTTGGCGGCTCCACATCGATGACAATCGCGGGTGGCTTCAATGCCACTACCCCAGCATTTGTAATGGAAGTAGACGACTGGCGTTCGCCGGTTGTAGGCGTCGGTGGTGAGAAACGTAAGAGCGGTAATCTATTCAGCGACTCCGCTTGCTTGTTCTGACCAGCCATTGAGGTGGTTGCCGTGTCAGTTGGTGAAGTCTCAACGTCACTCTCAATAATGACATGCGTTTTACCCGTTTGCAGATCCAGTACAATCTTCTCCTTGGACGCAAGTTTTTGAAAGATGAAAAGAACAAAATGCCACATTAGAAGAAATATAACATCTGAATCTCTGCTGCTTTTCGTACCGTATACATTTATGGTTAGACCACACATTTACGAGCCAGTTTACTCTAATCTAATTGATATTCATTAGCTCCATGTACGCGGATAAATTATCATTTAAGAGTAAGTATTTATAAAGCAATGTTTAGTATATATCGTCACTAGACACGAATAAAGACACGCGAGACTTTTCACGGTGACAAGGGACGCGTTAAAAACAAAAAAACTGACGAAAAAAGGAGCGTATCAAAACTCTTCGACGAAGAAAGACGCGTAAACCCAGTTGACGGCGAAGGACGAGGCGTCAAAATAGATTCATATCTGCCACAGTCCTTGGACTGACACTTGAACATAATTCCCGGAAAACTGTTTGGGGAATTAATTTGCATACTTCTGCTGTCTTAAATATGTATATTAAACTGACCCCGCAAATAAGGAAGGAAGAAAAATATCTACTTAAGAAATAAGAGAAACTGAAAGACATGATTGCGAAAACTTAAGACATTAACTAGCTGATGTTACGTAAAATTTTCCTTAAAAAAAATAAGGCAGCAATGGAATGAATGCAAGACCTAGGCTGGTTATTGCAAGGACGAAGATGGAAATCTGTTAACACACGTCCAGATTACACTTGAGATATGAAGGCAATACTTTCCAAGGCTTTTGATATGGCCATACAGGTGTCGTGTTTGGCGAAGAAGAACCCTGAGCAACACAAAGTCCATACCCTTGACCAAAATGAGGTGAGGACAACGATAAATGAGCTTAAAAACTACAAAGCGCTTAGAGTCAATGGAATAACAACTGCGTGTTACATAGGCGGCGGCAAGGAGCTATTAGGGTGCATGTAAAAGCTTTTAAGAATAATTTGGTTTGATGAGTACATGGGCGTTAATTGGAATTACGGTATACTTTCCCTATTCACACGAAGGAAATTGCTGTTTGCGGGATTAGCCTTATTAGCGCTTCGTATAAGGTCTTATCGACGAATCTTGTCAAAAATTTTAGCCTCCCATTTATCAACTGATTGGGTCCTATCAGTGTGAGCCGTAAGCGCTGCATTTTCTAGCTTAGAATAAGAAACTAAAGCCGTTAGTCTAGCGGTGAACGAGGACAAGGCAAAGTACCTCCTGACAACTTTCAAATAGTTTTCACAAATAAAGACATAATAGTGTCTTAGGCAGTTATAAATTTAAAGTAGTGCAGAATTGGTTTATATAGCATCTACTTATGTAGCATTTTAAGACGGGGTTTTTGTGGTCGTCTGCGACCTTAACAGGTCTTACTAGGACAAGTGTAAAAGGAGCGCAATGCAATGTGTCTTAAAGGGGCTAGCAATACTTACATTATGTATATGGGAAAATCTTTTGTTATGGGGATTTTTCAGTATGTAATATAAAAACAAAACAACAAACAATTCCATAATTCCCATAAATTATCACTTGTCAACCTAATTGAAATAATATTAATAATATTTTGTAATTGCTACTCTGTTTGTACCATATCTTTAAAAAACGTTCGTACTAGCTCGATCAAGTTAGACTTTCAAGGTCGCATAAAGCTGAACATTATTATAATTGATATATGAAAAGGCCCAGTTCTGTAAAAAAAAAAATTTTCAAGGTCAAAGGTCACATAAATTGATTTTTACCATTTTTCAGTTGAACGGTAAGGTTTATCATAAAAATAGGTTAGACAAAATTGTAGATCATGTAATTATCTCTAAAAACCTTTCTGACACTTTTGTTCCTAAGAATCACCATTTCTGTGATACAACGATACTTTAAATTGAAGTAAATGTTTTAACAGGTGGTAGTATAAAAAAATCAGTGGGTATGGGAGGTGCATTGGCCCCCTTCTAAAAAATCCAAACTTTTTCCATAAGTACAGCATTGATTTCTTATAAATCCATACCATAAATACTTCCAGAGGTATGCAGTCATACTGTCATACTAATTCCGTTTGTATGGGATGTGCCACGCCCATTTGGCTAATTGAGATAAAGGCTATCCTATGATTTAAGTTGGGTTAAGTGACATCAGTGTGCGAAACTTCATTATGATCGGTTGAGTAGTTAAAGCGTGAAATCGTAACAAACAAACCATTTGTATTTATATTAGTAAGGATTATCCAGTACTGGCCATTAAAATAATTTTTAGAGGTGAGCATTTGTTTACGTCGGCCCAAATATACGAACACAAAATATTACACCAGGGCTTATGAATTTGTTTGCCTTTGATTGGTTGTGCTCAACGAAAAACCATTATTAAGTAAAAAGTTACACACTGGTCACTCGTTTTCTCAAGACGATCTTTGGCTTTTGGCCTTTGGACGTTGGCCTTTAACCTAGGATTATTTTTCTGCAGAAGTAATGAAGTATGTTTTATACCCACAAATGTAATAAATATAATGTAATAAGTATCGCTGAACGATTACCAAAAGAAAATTCACGATGTTTATAAAATACGCGAAATTCAGTTACAGTTGAGAGATAGAGTATATTTGATTAAGAATGTCGACGATTTAGCTTTCCCTGATTCCATATATACACATTTGATGTTGCCTTTTTTTTGCCTTTCTACCTTAAAGGCCAGTATACAGCTCTCAAGAAAAGCTCTCCATATAAAATGACGTACAAGAAATGGCTAAGAAATTTTCTTGTGTCAAATTTCCTTAAGGCAGTACGCAGTTCTTAAGAAATTTGCTACGCTTTCTAGTACGGGTTTCTAAAGTTTTTTTTGTGAAAAAAGAGCACAAGGTAACCCATGTTTGCAACAGAAATATATACCCGTTCCATTATTTCTTGAGGCAAGAGTGAGGCAACAGGCTGTGAGGTATTAGATGTCAAAATTCCCTGGACACACACACGTCCGTTTAGTTTATAGTTTTTCTCTTTTTACTTGTAAAATAAACATTTCTAATATAAATGTATTTTTTTGATTCGTTTTCGGTTTTTGTCTTAATTTAGTGCATTCTTTTGCCTTTTTTACTATTCCTGGTGCCTTTTCTTGCCTATTTCGCTTTTTTTATTTTACCTTTTCTAGCCTATTTTTTGACTTTTTTATAGGGTTTTAGGTACTAGAAATCCGTTTCTTGCTCATAACCTACAAATGAACGTCTGAAAACACCGAGCTTTAGGTCAGATCGCTCTAGAAGTTATAAGCACCTTAATAAAAAGTAGATTTAATGCGAGTTACACTAGAAATGTCCTGATTTTCTCGATTATTTTCATTAGTGATGTCAGACTATGGGACTCATTACCAATATCAACTGAATGTATCAAATCGGATAGATGCTTTAAGACGGCGGTTACAGAATTTTTTTGTGGTTACCTATTTATATGCTCTTCTCTATCCTCTCTGTTTTATCTCTATCTCTAACGATTTACTCCTTTCTAATAATTGGATAAGTCCTAGAATTTAAGCTTAGTTTAAGATATAAACCTGTAATTTATAATGTAAAAATGTACAAAGAAAAAGAGTTTAGGTCTTACCATAATAATTATAATAATAATAAATAATAATAATAATCAGTTATTTAAACCGTTAGTTTTGTTAGAAATGGCAATTTGCTGATATTTACACATATAAGTAGTATTGACGAAGGTATAGAAACCGCAATTGGCAGTGCAGCTGCCTTGTGGCGGCAACAATATGCCAGTACGCAAAATTTCTCCATCTCAAAAGATTTCCCCATATATTTAGTATTAAAAAATCATAAAAACAATTTTACATGGTATCAAAACTTGCACTTTCTTTCAGCTGAACCAACGATGGCTTGTGCGTCCAAATTTTATAACTATACCATCATCTGAGTCACTCTGCGGTCGTTTTGTTTTTTTAAGAAAAAAGTGTTAACCTGATAAATCAGTTTTAAAATGTAGTATTTGCAATTATGACTTAAATCGACATCAATGTATAGTTATTTACTTATGTATACTAGTTAAATATTTCGTAAGTTTAATTGTAAATTTATGAAAATTAAATGACACTAAATAAAACTTTCGTCTATTCCCACCAACTATATTTACACAAATGACCTATAAATTTACTCACCGACATTTGCTCATCACTGCAATCACTACGCATACTCCTCTGCTCATCGTCACTATAATCGCCACACGACAGCGGATCGTCCTGAAATATTGGACTGTTCGAACGTTGCGGCCGTGGCATGATTGGTGTAAGCGCCGGCGATGGGATCGGTGTAGGCATTTCACGAATCGGCGACAGACACTTATTGTTGATGCCATTGCTGGGTATTTCCAGCAGTATCGTCGGTGGGTGCAACAAATTCGTTGAACTTGACGAATTGGACGATGATGGTGTCGATGAGGATTTGTGCGCATTGAGTACATCGAGAACGGGCACCTCTATGGTGGTTTGACGATAGAACACAGGCGAATCGGGTGGTCCACTAGAGAAGCTAACCGGTGTATGCATAGACGAAGTGGATGACTCATCGTCACCGGGTGCATCATCTTGTGGACTAGAAGCGGTTGGGGTTGTTGATGGTGATACATATACAGATGCGCTTTGCGTTATGTTAGCAGTGTTTGAGGCAGTTGTTGTTGAGGTTGCATTTGAAGAAGAAGCAAGATTACGGAACATGGCTAAAATGGAGTCGGCACTGGAGACTTTCGGGCGTGCTGTTGTGCCGATGCGACTACGTGAAGATGGACCACTAAAACCCATACCACCAACACCGACCGGCAGATGGGCATTGTGATTTGTGCTACCACCAATCTCACTGGCACTGGTCTGCATCGAACGCAAACCAAAGTCGGTCAGTGCTAGATCGGAACTTGATAGTGAGTCGCTACCCTGATTCGATGAAGTGCTGTGCGGTGAACGTATATCATTTGTGCACGGTGATGGAGGCACTGAGCTGGCGCGAAACTGTATGTCAGTTGGCAGACTGAGGGCACTTGAATTCCGTGTATTCTAAAAGGGGGTGTTGGGTGCAGCAGTGAATGTTAGGCGAGGGAGAAGGACAAAAGGTAAATGAATGAGTACAGTGTTAACATATGTATGCTCGGGAATATTAACAGTAAAATACAATATGTACATTAGGATGCATCGACAAAAAATTGCGATTTTTCCACCGGAATTATAAAATGTATTATATTTTAAGGCTTCCGCTCAAATATTTCCGAAAAATATTAAACTGACGTGAGCTAGACTGATTTGAACATACTTCTAAAAAATTCATTATTTTGATATTCATTATTTTGATTCCGCTCATATTTTTTTTAAATTTTTATGCAGACATTTTAAATTTACACTCCTCTTACAAAATATAATAAATTTTATATTTCCGATGGAAAGAGAGTACCAATTATTTTTGGTATGGAGTGTGTCGCATCCTAATGTAGATACATAGACTCACACACAAAATAGAAACGGATATTAGGAAGCGTTGAAACAAGACTACATAGATTGTTGTTAGACTGTTTATGTTATGTATATGTATGTATATATGTATTTATAAATATGTACTACCCAGCCCACCTTTAGTTCATACAATCTTGAAGAAGAAATATTTCAAAGCGTATGAACTAAAGGTGGGTAGGGTAGTATATAAGGGCTTCGAACAATGTGTCATCGTGCCAAAAATGGAACTGTCATTAGCTAATTTGTGTGAATAAAATAATTTTCGATAAATAGAACTAGCGATAACTATAATTTTAGTATATGGAAAACGTAACTGTTATTGTTAATTATATCGCGGAGATTTTAGTTAATATATCGTTACTTTTTTGATAGATATGTATGAACAAACATTGGACCGTACTACTTTATAAGCAAACAAGAATAAAATCGTCTCACACCCATGTATCTAAAGTATTTTAGCAAGGCAGTTTGGATTTTTTTTTTGTCCGATCGCCTTTTTAAATTTTTCGGTGACACCCCCATTCCGCAATAAATATTTACTTTTTTTAAATAATACAATACAGCCATAATCAAAATACTTTCTTTGCAAAAGTTGTATGGGTTTTTGTGAGCTTTAATTTACTGACATTAGGGTGGTACTTTAATTGTACGATCTTTTTGTAAATGCGGAAGATATCACGAAAAATGTAAAAAGGCGACAAAAAATTTTCTAATCGAAATTGCCTTGCCAAAAATTTTAGACTCTCTTTTAGCGGTAACATAGCCAATAAAATCGATAGTCGCTAAATCGTATCGATAAAGACGTTAATAGTAGCGTCTGTAATATGTAAACAAAAAAATCGACGATCACTTCGATAAATTTATCTCGATAAATTCCTTGATATTAATATAAATACATCGAATTAAAGAATCATTATCGTTACCGACACATCTATGTAAATATATCAATGGATGGAGAAAAAGTTGAGACAGATAATTGATTATAATCAGTAAAAATAATCAACCATATACATATATGTCGATGACGTTTTTAGTGAATATATCTATAATTTTTTTTTGAATATGTATACATATAGGCAACGAAATCGATAGTGTTATCGATGAAATTGCTGACAATCATATAAATTATCGAAAAATTTCTATCGATTATTTAAATAAATATCAACCTATAAATTTTATAAGGGTCCGCACAAAATAAATATGTCTGCGAAAATTTAAAAATTTTAAGGGACCGCTCCCTTTGTTCGAAAAATTCTAAGTTTTTTAAAACAATCCAAAATCTCAAATTTTGACTTGGAATCTGATTAAATACTGAAACTTATTCATATACATAAATTCGTAAACTCGCTGAGTTGTAGCTGCTGAAATACAAGTTTTGTAATTAATTGTGGAGCGATTTTTCGTCATCCCTTGTCAAACTTAGTTTGGAGACAAACTGGTTTCGGCGTTGTGCGAATTTTTGCGATTTAAAAAAAGTAATAAAATTTTTTCAACGCCTCGTTGCGACTACCACTAAAAATTTGTTGAAAATGTAGAAATTTTCGTAGATGTGTTTATTTTATATGTAGAACAAGAGATGTTGATATTTTTGAGGACCACCCTAATAAACATGTAGAAATAAAATCGATGTACTGCATTTATTCTACAATTATATACCACTAAGATCTATAAACTTAGTTTTAGCTATGCCGATCTACATTTATCGTATATATATATACATATATTTAAATCACTTATGGAACTTCAGGGAAAATCGACATTGTTCGAAAGCGCAATTTTATATTTTTAAAGACATAACACACAATTTGAAATTTGTTTCTTTACGCTCCAGCTTCCAGCGGAAAATTTATAATGCAAGTTTTTATACAGTTATAAAAAAGTCGAATGTACTTAATACCACAGACTATCGGTGCAATGAGTAGATTAGTGTAAGAAATGATCAATGATCACAGGAAAGCTTCCGTTTCTTCTGGTTCCTGAGCCAGTGGGCGCAAATATTTCGATTTTTTTGCCTGAAGATCATAAACTCACTTTAGTTACTTTTTGCCATGAGCCAATAACACTTGTCAAATACTAAGTATAAGCAATGCACTAATAAGTTACGTCAGCAAACAAGTTAGAGGATAATAATAATTGTCAATGAACAATACTGCACTCTGTCTGTTGACGCTCAAATTTTTCGGATCACTTTCTACTCACCGCCATATGTCCAATATCCATATCCGAACCGGAACTCATTTCGGCAGAGACTTTGTTTAGCAGCCGTGCGAATGTTACTTTCTTCTCCAACTTCGGATCGGCAATTGTGCGTGCAACATTCGCGACATTGGTCGATGTCAATGAACCGGAGTTCTCTGAGAATGTCGTCTCTTTCACATCACTCTCTGAATCGACATTACTAGTCGCACGTAAATGTGTCTCAGTCATATTGATGAGCTCACCCAAACTGACTTTGGGTTTGTCTACATTGGGCGCTGGTGAAACCAATTGCTGCAGAATTTGCTTCTTTTCAGCGGCATTTTTCTTTACAGGTGTCGAATTGTTGCGCTTCTTGCGTGGTGACGGCGAACCTATTAATGAGGCATTAAATTGAGAGAGTGAACTTCGTGAGTGTCTAAACTGGAGATGTATAATTGAGTAACTAGTACATACAAACGTATTGCACTATTAAAACACACAACGAAAGTCTAAGCACATTCAAAGCACATAAAGGTGAGTGAAGGAGAGAAGGTGGAGACACATATGTATAAGCGGAAAGTAGGCGTGAAAAGTATAAATGTGCTGAAAGAATAATGAAGTGCAGGTAACCCGCCTCTAGATTTGAGCTGTAATGCTGTGATCAACCATTCACGTGTGACGTATGTATTTATGTGTGTGTGTATAAACATCTGATGTCAAATAAAATAATCTTCCGTGGATCTAACATCATTTGTAAGTACTAAATATACTTTCGGAGCGTGATATGAATATAAACATATGTATGTACATCCAAAAGTTTTAAATACTTTCCTCCGAAATTATTGTCCTAAGATGCCGTGAGTGAATTAAGTACACATTTCTGAGATTTTTTCCGTCCACCGCACGCAAAAATCTAACTCGAACACCCTGAACCTGACCTGCCCAACTTCATGGACTCTTAATTGATCGCTATTGCTCTGTTGCCTAATTGTCAAGAGAGAGAGCGCCTATTTTTATGGAACCGAATTCAACGAAATTCGACATCGTTGTACCTTACCTACCAGAAACCCGAACTTTTTTATGGGAAAGAAAATGTATAACTTAGCAGACACTTTTTCCGTGGTTAATAGCCGAAATCCAAGCCCCATCACCTTGTCATGAAATTATGCCTCCTGGAAATTTGTCGCGCAATAGAGCGTAGTTAGTCTTTGGTCAGCCGGCTGGAGTTCTTGCGTGGAGTGGATTTTAGATGGATGAAGATACAGGTACAGGTACAGGTACAGGTTGAAAGTTTCGGGTCATCGTCAACATCTTCTTTCCCAGTGTTTATGTTTTCGAACGGACAGAGCTCTTAAGATATCTTTTATCGATCGAGTGTCTTCGAATTTTTACTTAGTTTTGATTGTTTGCTGGGATGGACGATTAAATAAGTTGACTATGCTCTCCGCTCCCATTGAGCAGACGGGACTGCAGATAACTTGTATGACATGACAACTCCATTCGCCCATCCTGCCTTAAAGGATAAGAGACAGCGGAACCCTTTGTGCGCTTCTGGCCCGCATTTGAAATAATTAAGTATGCGGAATTTAGCCGCGATATGTTGAGAGTTGGGCACCCGACCTTTTTCCAGGCTGAGTTCTGACAAAAAAAAAAAAATATCTCCGAAGATTTACCATTTGGTAGAATAACTTTAACATTTAAACGTTCGATGATAGTTCCACAATGTGTAGTGCGTATGTAACGAATCGGCTGATTTTTCCTAAATTTTGTTTCTCTAGGCACTCTAAGGCTAACAAGAATTTTACATTCTATAATAAAATAGCATCCAGACCTCGTGTGAAAATAAAGAGCTTTTATGAGAATTGAGCTCATTTCAGAGCTGATAAACGCCGAGAGAACAAACACATTGCTTGCAAACAAGTGCACACGAGGCTGTCACTTAAATTACCGAGCCCATTATGATATTTTTTTCGTAAGTTTCCATATGCACTTCAGTAGAAACTTATGAGTTTACTTATTCGGGGTTCGGGGCCGTAAGTTTACTAGTGCGGGCTGTGTCTTTGGATACGTCTCTGTAGAGGAGAGTTAGTTAAGGTACGTTTATGGCCGTAGAAATACCAGATTCATGGACATAAGTTCGAGCATTGTATCCAACGCAAACCATTAATGCCTTGATAGTTCTGAAGCCGGTGACGTTAAGTCACCTGGATAAGTCTTAGATATTATAGCCAGAATAAAGTCTCTAAAGTTAGTTGCGGCTTTATGACATAATTTAAAAGGGACATTTTTAGTTTAGTTTTATTGCTGGCATTTAAGACGAATTTTGAGCTTTGGTGTGTTCAGAGACTTATAGTAGAATTTAATGGCAACTATTTTTGTAAAATATTTTTACGATTTATATCGCCTATTGAGGAAATAGCGGGTTAAAATGTTACCCAGAAATGTCCTCTGTCGTATCTTACATAAAACTGCAAAACACATTATATGGTTAAAATGTAGAAATCACAGGATTTTGTACGCCATATCCCCATATAGTGGTTTTTGGTCCCCGCTACCAGAATATATTGTCAGAACCTTGCCTTTTTTGGTTGTACAGTATTATCAAACGGCTGTTGTGTACATATGTATTTAATTACAGTACGTCATCGGTAAAAGCAACTAATGATAATTCGGACAGTTGCGTTGGTAGAAGTTGCTGTAATAACAAAGTGTAAAACATCCATGCTTATTTCTTGGGTAATTTGTTTTAAAATAACCTTCAAATTTTTTTGAAATCGAGTTAAAAATTGAAAATGTTAATTTGTGTTGTTTGTGCTCTCGCTTTTTTCGCCTTCTAAATTATTAAAAACCAGCTCTAAGTCAGCGTTTTCTGCTATACATACAATTGTTTAATTTCTCGGCGACAAAATTTTCGGTAGGAAATATCTCTTAAAGCAAGTGCTTAAGAGATGCAATCACTTCAAGGTCACTAATGACTTAGTCGCATATGACGTTCACTGGCATTCAAATCTAATGATTTATCTTTGATTTTTTGGTGACATGCTTTTGATTTAGGGATTTCTTTGAAAATTTCAATAAAAGTAAGCCCAAAAAATTGAAACAAAGTGAAACGAAATAAGAAATTATGGATAGAAAGATGCGTTTACTGAGGCAAAATTTTTTGAACAGTTGCAATTACTGAGTCACTAACGGTATACATTTGAAAGTTGCTTTAACGAGGTATTACGTTTATCGAGTGTTGCTTTTACCGAGGGCGTACTGTATTTAATTCATAAATTTGGCTTTGTCGCACACATTTCTTGCCTTAGGAGAGTTACCTGCAGTAATAAACATACATGTGTATATAAGTGTGTTTTAAAAGAGAAACAATGCGATTTTTATGGTGAAGTTTATAGAAAAGCCGAAAGAGTTAATAATAAAATTAATATTTTTTTTGAAAATAAATCAATATCTGCATATGTAAATGGAGGACATAAATGTGCTGTATGTCTATGATATGTATATATTTATTTGAATGTATGGAAGTAAAACTACCATAAATTTTAATAATTCCACATTTCCACTAGGCATTAAATGACAAACACTTTTATGACAAAGTTCGTTTCGACATGAAATTTTTTTAAATGGCATAAATTGTTTGCCATTTCAATGCGTAGTTTAAATCCGGAATAAGTATGGAATAACTATAGCTACGGCATACAAACATACAGCGAAACTAAGTAGATAACAACAAAGAAAAAATTATTATTACGAGTTGAATGAAATAAACTACGTTTGACCAAAACCAAAATCAGCATACACTAAAAACTTTAAAATTCTAGTAAACAGCTTTTATTATTTTACGCCCACCAGCAGCCGCAAAAGTATTCGTAGATCAAATGTATGTAGTTTCGTCGATTTGTCAAATTTAATCGTTATTTCACAGGTCGACAATGCGTACTGAGTCTATGTCTCGAATTTATGATTTGGGTAACAAAATTGCATTGTGAGTTGGATATATGAAATTTTATACATATGCACGTATGTATGTATACTAAACTTGAAATGGGGCTAGCCTATTGAAATGGTAAGTATTGAGAAATATTTACAATTTACTGTTAAAGTGTCTATCATTCTTAGTAGATGACGTTGTGACTGCGCTTTCATATAACACATTTTATATACATATATGTAGAAGATAATGTAGCCAAGAGCTTCTATCTATCGCTGAATGAATGTGAAGAATGCTAATGACAGCAATTAATAGACGAAGCTACGTATTAAGTATTGCAGTTACTGCCACTCACGAAAGTACATTTTGAGAAAAAAATTCTGCTTTGTAAATTAGAATCAAACTTACTAAAGCTAACATTAAAGTTTCCCTAAATAATCGCGAAGTCTACGACACTGCAGAGATCTGAGCGCTAGTGTCTTTTACCTTGGGTACAAGTTCATTCGGGCGTACCTGGTAATGAGATACTTTATCAATTGACCAGAGTTCGCTCAGACCAGGTATTCCTCGTTTCTCAACCACAATCAGAAGCTGGGTGAATACTTCGCTCAGCAATGACTGGGATGCATCGAGGGATGCAGGTGGACAAAACTCATGTTGCATTCAATCTCAGATAGTCAATATGGTTTTTTGTTGGACTGCTGACTGCTCGCTTAATATGGCACAAACATCTGACCATTTACTCATCCTGCCTTGAAGGGGATGAGACGGTGAAACACTTTTTTTGGTTTCTGCTCCGCATATGCAAGACTCAGGTATGCGGCATATTTGACCGCGATGTGTTGAGAGACGAACACCTCAGCTCTTTGACCCTCAACAATCTGTTTAGGTTTATTCGCAAATTGTGCAGATTTAACACAAATTAAGGGCCGGTTGTTCAATGTCTGGCCATCACTACTTGCGGGTTAAACATCATTATCGACGTTTTCGACATAATACATATAACATGTGAACGATAAAGCAGTCGTTGTATTTAACCGGAGCTTCTACCTCCGATTAGTGCTAATCAGACATTGTACAACCGGCCCTAAAAGGACATGAAAACTGAATACAAGGAGCGGCGTGTAAACTGAGTGCTGTTTTCTGCAGCTAACAGCTGAGAGACGTCGAACAAGGGCGTTTTTGGGCTCGCTGATAATGAATCTGAAGTCAGATTTGGAAAATTCAAAATGGCCGATCCAATATGGCGGATGATTTTTAAAAAACTTATTGCGTTTTTAGGAAATTGTTAAAAGGGGGGATTTTGGGGGTAGCTTATTTCGAATCTGAGGAAACGGATAATCGACTAAGTCAATTCGAATATGTTTTGAAAAGATTTTGCAAATCGACTAACCGATTATTCGCTTAGACGATTACCAAGGTCTCAAACAAAACTGAGTCATGCAATTACAAAGTCATTGGGAATGTTTTTTTTATAAGAAACACCATCTTGTGGGACCCGATCGACCCTTAAAAGCGCAGTGTACACCGATGTATTGAATTTACTATTTTAAAATGTAACAATAGATTTTGAGTTTATCGTTGCACATAATTTGTATTTAGACTTCCTTTAGGTCCCTTAGGTTGAGCACCTATTGGTGGTGCCAGAGAGAGAAGGAACCTCTAATAGACTTTTCAGAATTTGTATTTAAATTTGCTTCAGGTAGATCACCTACTGATGCTAGTGACAGGACGAACGTTCAACAGACTTTTCATGGATTAAACACTAAAATACAAATGACTCTATCGGGAGCGAAATTTGCACAGACTGAAGGTTTCAGTTATTGGAATTTTACGTAGGGTTTAAAATTAAAATAGGAATGTAAAAAATCTTATTTTTTTATATATAAATACACAAAAATTGTGCAGATACATTATACATACATATTTATGTCGGCCCACAGTAGGCGCTAACGGTGGTGCAAGGTAGGAAGATATAGAAAGCTTGTGATATACTTATTTTACATATATAGTATATATACATATATGCATGTACGTTAGGCTGTGCCGAAAAAAATTTCGCCGTACACCCCTGAGTCTAAAGAAATTTCGTAAGGCAATTCCGAAATAATTTTTGCTTTTTCTTTGGCCGAATGATAGCGCCCCCTTTTTACATTTTTCGTCATATCTTCGGCATTTGCCGTCGGATCTTAAAGTATGATATGTCGACGTTATAGTACTTACCCACCAGATTTCAGTTCATATCTACCTAACGTACCACCCTTATGTCAGTAAATTAAAGCACGATAAAAATTATTGAACCTTAGCTAAGGCAATTTCGAATTTTTTTTCGGTCGAACTCAGGGGTCGAGTTTTTTTTATGTCTGTGGAGAATTACAGTGGCATACTTACCCGCCAGATCCCATTTCCTATCACCCTTATGTCAGTAAATTAACGGGTAATTCTTGCTAAGCCAGTAAAAAGTCTCTCGTAAAACAAATCTAGATGACAACATAGTTCGAAAGACTTTTTACTCTAGCATAAAAGTCTTAGAATAGACTTCCTCATTCACCACTCGTGGTAAAAAGCTATTATGAGAGAAAACACTTGTGTATCATTTAGATCGCGTTGCTCCAATAGTCGCAATAGTTTTTAGGTTTTGTTTTAAAAATAACAATATTTTTTTAAATTTTATTTAATTGTTTAGTACTATTTTCTTATTTTTTGATTTATTATTTTTTCTTTGTCTTATTTAAATTTTAGATTTTATTGCTTTCAGAAGATTTTTTTTTAAACTTATCGTATTTTATTTTTAATTTTTTTTAAATATAGTTTTCGTTTTTTTTATTAGTTTTTATTCTTTAAAAAGATATATACATATTCTCTAATTTCATAAAATTTTTAGATACTTAGTTTATGTATTTTTTCTTTTTAGTTAAATTTGGTCTTTCTTAATTTAACTTTTTAAAATGTTATTGTTTTAAAACGATTTTTTTTCATTTAATTTTTGGGAACATATTTTATATTTCTTCTTTTTTGAATAAATTTTTTGGTGCATTTTCCTTTTAATTTTTAGATTTTTTGTTTATTTAATTGTTGAGTACTATGTTCTTCTGTTTTGATTACATTTTTTTCATTCTCTGATTTAATTTTTAGATTTTATTGTATTACGATTTTTTATTTTATTTGATTTTTAAAAATATTTTATGTATTTTAGCATTATTTTCATTTAATTTTTTATATATTATTTTTTATGTTAGTTATTTTTTATTTATTAGTTTTTCTTGTTTTAAGAACAAAATATAAATATTTTTTCAATTTAATTAAATTAAAAAAAAAAAGAAAAATAATATTGCTAAAAGCTAACAGCACAACGCTAAGACCTCCTCGTTAGCACATCTGTCAATTACTCTTTCGAAAGACAGAATTCACAGTTGTCTTACGAAAGACTTTTGTCTTTCAAAAGACTGTGGTGAGTCGAAAGACAGTTGCCAGAATTTGTCTGTAAAGCTCACCATACTTTTGCTATGGGAGTATGGAATTTACTCCAGTAGAACTATTATAAAAATATATGTATATTGCAGAATGGACATAGGTGTCACCGAAAAATGTAAAACAGGGGACCCTTAGATTCGGTAAAAAAATCGTAATTACATACCTTGCAAAAAATATTTTAGACTCAGGGTTATATGCGAGCTTTTTTTTTTGATTGCTTCAAAAGTGGTACGGTCTAATGTACATATGTATATGTAAGTTTGTAGAAGCATTAGCCTGTATACAGCGTGCATGTACTACTATCTACTAAGCATGTAGTTATGTACCAACATGTTAAATCACTTTTATGTAGAGAGTTACAGGAATGTGCAACTTGTGTGTCATAAGTGGTTAGGGAAATATTTATAAGTGGGACTTTGCCGCAGCCAGCGGAAAGGAGGGGTTTTTTGCTCAGCGCTCAGCAGAAGTTAGAGTAACTAAGTAACTAATATATATATCTTGATGGGATCGAAATGAAATAAAGAGCAAATATCATACAAACCACGGTATATTTGTACATTTGTAGATACTAGGGTGGTACTTAGTATTTGCCTCTAACTACTTTTTAGCATTCAATTTCTATTTGTTGTGCAACACAAATGAGGTGACGTTATTTATATGATTAATGTGTACTACATACATGTAAATATGTATACTGTATGTATATGCACTTGAATGAACAGTGAATTAACATAAAACAATGTGTGCAATTACTTAAAATAATTAGAAAATTTCGAGTTCGAAACTGTTTTTTTAGGAGAGGGGAGGATATACAGCATTGAGTGTACACAACGAGATATAATTTTGTTTTGTTTAAAAATTTTTTGCAAAAAAGGTATAAAAGGTAGGAATGATAAACCAATTACTCATATGCATATATAGATTAACTTATACATACATATGTTTAGAAAAAGAGGCAAAGAGAGAGAGAGAGAGAGAAAGTGAGAAACAGGTAGATAGATAGAAATACAACGCTTGAAGTGAGTAGCAGTGGAGTTTTTCGGTTATTGCATAGTAGGTAATTAATTTAAAGGGGTTATTAAAGGATTCTATTAAACAATTTTCTTTTGTCTCTTTGTAAGTGCTTGCAATTTTTTTTGTTCTTTTGTGGGAGTTTTTTTT